CCTCAGAATAACCATACAACAAATTGTGAACACATTGGATAACCTAGAAGAAATGGACAAATTCCTAGAAACATGTAGCCTACCAAGACTGAATAATGAAAAAACTGAAAATCTCAACACACCAATAAAGAGTAAGAAGATTGAATCAGTAATAAAAAATTTCCTCCTATCAAATAAAAACCCAGTACCAGATGGCATCACTGTAGATTTCTACCAAACATTTAATGAAGAACTAACACCAATTCTTTACAAACTGTCAAAAAATTGAAGAGAAGGGAATACAACAAATTCATTTTATAAGGCCAGAATGACCCTGAAATTAAAGGCAAAGACACTAAAAGAAAAGAAAATTACAGGTCAATATCCCTCAACATAGATACAAAAATCATCAATAAAACACTAGCAGCTGGGCACAGTGGCTCATGTCTGTAATCCCAGCACTATGGAAGGCTGAGGAGGGCCGATCACGAGGTGAGGAGTTCAAGACCACCCTGACCAACATGGTGAAACCCGATCTCTACTAAGAATATAAAAATTAGCCAGGTATGGTGGCATGCACTTGTAATCCCAGCTACTCAGGAGGCTGAGGCAGGAGACTCACTTGAACCTGGGAGACAGAGGTTGAAGTGAGCCAAGATAGCATAACTACACTCCAGCCTGGGTGACAAAGTAAGACTCTGTCAAAAAAAAAAAAAAAAAAAAAAAACAAACCACTAGTGAACTATTTTCAACAGTACAGTAAAAGAATAATTCACCATGATCAAATGAGATTCATCCCAGAGATGCAACAACAGTTCAACATGCACAAATCAATAAATGTGATCCACTGTATTAACAGAATGAAGGATAAAAATTATATAATCATCTCAATAGATGCAGGGAAAGCATTTAACAAAATTCAACAATGTTTCATAATAAAAACTTTCACCAAATTAGGTATTGAAGGAATGTACCTCAACCTAATAAAGGACCAGATGTGATAAGCCTACAGGTAACATCATGCTCAATGGGAGAGGTTGAAAGCTTCTGATCAGGACTGAGATAAGGATGCCCAGTCTCACCACTTCTATTCAGTATACTGCAGTAAGTCATAGCCAAAGCAATTAGAAAGGGAAAAAAAAGACATCCAAACAGGAAAGGAAGAAGTGAAATTGTCTCTTTTTGCTGGACATACAAAATCTTATGTACAGAAAATCCTAAAGACTCCACCAAAAAACTATTAGAATAAATGAATTCAGTAAAGCTGCAGAATACAAAATCAGCAAACAAAAATCAGTAGCATTTCTATTTACTAACAATGAACTATCGGAAAAAGAAATTAATAATCCCATTTACAATCACATCAAAAAAACAGGAATAAGTTTCACCAAGGAGGTGAAAGATCCATACAATAAAAACTCTTAAAAGACTGATTAAAGAAATTGAGGATGACATAAATACAGTAATGAGTTACGTAATGACAGGAATACATTCTGAGATATGTGCTGTAAGGCGATTTTGTTGTCGTACAAACATCATAGAGTATATTTACATAAACATAGATAGTATAGCTCACTCCATACATAGGCTATATCTCCTAAGCTATAAACCAGTATAGCGTGTTACTGTACTAAATACTGTAGGCAACTGTAACACAATGGTAAGTATTTGTATATCTAAACATAGAAAAGGTGATGTCTTGCACTGCAACAGTTCATGGCTGAGACATCAACAGACGATAGGGATTTTTCAGCTCCATTACAATCTTATGGGACCACCATCTAATATACAGTCTGTCACTGACTGAAATGTCCTTATGTGCCACATGACTGTGAATGGAATGACATCCCAGGTTTATGGATTAGAAGAAGGAGTACTGTTAAAATGTCCATACTACCCAAAGCCATCTACAGATTCCGTGCAATCGCTATTAAAATCCCAATGTCATTCTTCATAGAAATAGAAAAACCTGAAAATTCATATGGAACCACAAAAGACCCCTGAAATAGCCAAAGCAATCTTGAGCAAAAAGAACAAAGGTGGAGGCACCACATTAGCTAATCTCAAATAGATTACAAAGATATAGTATTAAAAGAGCATAGTAGCAGCATAAAAAGACTCACTGTCCAATGAAATAGAATAGCTCAGAAATAAACCCAGGCATTTATGATCAATTGATTTTCAACAAAGATGCCAAGAATACACAACAGGGAAAGGACAGTCTCTTCAATAAAGTATTAGGAAAACTATGCACATATAGAAGAATGAAATTGGACCTTTATTTCACCCCATATACCAGAATCAACTCAAAATGGATTAAAGACAGATGTAAAACATAAAACCTGAAACTAAAACTACTAGAAGAAAACATAAGGGAAAACTTCTTTGACATTCGTCTCAGCAATAATTTCTCGGATATGACTCCCAAAGCACAGGCATCAAAAGCAAAAAATAGACAAATAGGAATGGATCCAACTAAAAGGCTTCTGCATTGCAATGGAAACAATTACAGAGTGAACAGACAACTCACAGTTTGGGAGAAGATATTTGCAAATCGTACATCTGATAAAAGGCTAATATTCAAAATACACGAGAAACTCAAACTACTCAATAACAAGAAAATAAGCTTATTTTTTAAAATGGGCAAAAAACCAGAATAGACATTTCTCAAATGAAGACATACAAATGGCCAATAGATAAACGAAAAAAAAAAATACTCAACATCACAAATCATCAGGGAAATACAAATTAAAAACATGGCAAGAAAACCTCACATCTGTTAGAATGGCTATTCTCAAAAAGATAAAAGATAACAAGTTGGCAAGGGTATTGAGAAAAGGGAACTGTACATACTTGTATGTAGCTGATGGGAACGTAAATTAGTATAAGCATTTTGGAAAACAGTATGGAGGTTCCTCAAAAAACTAAAAGTAGAACTGCCATATGAGCCAGTAATCCCACTTCTGGGTACATATCCTAAGGAACTGAAACCAGTATGTTAAAGGGATATCTGCACTCCCGTGTTCACTGTAGCACTATTCACATAGCCAAGGTATAGACACAACATAAATCCCCATTAATAGATGAAGGGATGAAGAAAATGTGGTATCCTGCATCTATAAACAATGAAAAACTACTCTGCCTTACAAAATGAGAAAATTTTGTCATTTGTGACAACATGGATGAATTCTGAAGACATTATGCTAAGTGAAATAAACCAGGCATGAAAAACAAATATGCATGATTTTGCTCATACATAAATCTTAAAAAGTCAAACTCATAGAAGTAGAACGGTAAAGGCTGTAGAACAGTAGTTACCAGAGGCTGGGTGGAAGTGAGGAGGTGGACAGGGAAAGAAGAGATTGTTCATCAGAATACAAAGCTCCAGTTTAAGAGGATATAAGTTCTAGCAATCCACTGCAAAGTACATTGACTACAATTGATAATAATGTATTGCATATTTAAAAATTAAGGGTAATTTTAAATCTCTTTACCACAAAGAAATAAGTATGTGAGGTGATGGATATGTTAATTAGCCTGATTCAATCATTCTACAATGTATCCATGTATCATAAAATCACATTTTACCCCATAAATATGTAAAATTATTCACCAATTAAAAATATACACAAAGAAAAAAGAACAGATTCTTTCATTAACAAGCATTTATTAACCACTCCAAATTTAAATATAGAGATTGCTATTAGGTAAACATCAGACCAATGTGGAATAAATGAGGGCCACTGACTTTTTAATTCTTGTTTAATATGGATTTTTCATAAACCTTTTTTAATGTATAAACAAGTGATACATAAAATATATTATTCAAAGTATATTAGGTGCATAATATATACATGCATATAAAAAATGTATGCATATATGTATATTTTATGGGCATATTTTATATGCATTAAAATGTTAAATATTAATTCTATTATAGTGAACTATTAAATTTAGCATGGAGGGAATATATTCATGTTTTTAGAAAATTTTTAAAGTCATAATAAATATTCCTATTGTGTTACCAACATACTCAACATTTGTACCAAATTTAATCTTTAACTGCTAAAGAGTTATTTATTCCATGGGTGCTAGAATACCAACTATAATAATTTTATATCTTCCCTGAATGAGACACACTCAAGAAATATATGTGTAATTTTTTTTTTAAATCACACCAGTAAATTCTAAATTGGCTGCTTAAGCCCACAGATTCTGCAGGCCATTGATAATCCAACTTTTAATAACTTGTTTAGAAGCACTAGGGAAAAAACAATTTTTTTAATCTCATTCTAAATCATAAAATTTTTTAAAACTTCAAAAACCTCTTTTAATTTACAATATGGGAGAAGAAAATGACCAAATTAATGCCATGAAGCAACATTTTAGCTTTTAACCTTAATATGTCTTTTTATTTTAAAACAAGAATCATTTATTAAATGAAAAATTACGTTTGTTCTTTTTTTTTTGAGACAGAGTTTCACTCTTGTTACCCAGGCTGGAGTGCAATGGCACGATCTCGGCTCACTGCAACCTCCGCCTCCTGGGTTCAAGCAATTCTGCCTCAGCCTCCCGAGTAGCTAGGACTACAGGCGCGTGCCACCATGCCCAGCTAATTTTTGTATTTTTAGTAGAGACGGGGTTTCACCTTGTTGACCAGGATGGTCTCGATCTCTTGACCTCGTGATTCACCTGCCTCGGCCTCCCAAAGTGCTGGGATTATAAGCGTGAGCCACCACGCCCAGCCTCACGTTTGTTCTTAAGTGAACAGAATACCAAAGTTTGTACACTGAATTAACACACTTTAAATATCTGTTTAGGGGAAAAGTGATAGTAGCTCTATCTCGATCACAGAATGACAACACTTCATTTTGCAAATGTTTTCTAAGTAATGCTCAAATGAAAATTATTTCTCAGTTATTTTGCAAATATCCCTCTCATCTGCCAAACTACTGTGATTTAATAGGTAATGAAGCAAAATTCTTCAACCTACAGAGATCTAGTTCATTTTTCTTTGTTACCTTTCTTCACAAAAGTCCAACATTATTAGGTCATCCCTCAGTGAACTGGTTTGTTCCTCAACTATTCTCATCCTCTGCTGAAGTACAGTGAATGTTTCAGAAGCTGTAGCATTGATGTGGGTTGGAGAAAGGACCGGTCTGGACACTGTAGTTTCCATATGTACCTAAGAATATAGTCACAATATTAGTGTCATAGGTCCTATTATTGTTCAAAAATAATCACTGCCATTCCTGTGTTAGGATTATGCATCACTGTCCTGTTGAATTCAGGCATGGTCATGTGTCCTGCTTTGGCCAATTAAATGTAGGTGGAAGTTAGAAGAGCCAGCTTGCTCTTCACCATCTCTCTCTTTTCCCTCCTCTATGAGAAGAGAAACATCCATGCACTAGGGTCCCAAGGTGACGATGACATCAAACAGACCCACAACCCATTCATAATATACAGCACAGATGTCCTGACATACAATACACCTATGTTGTAAGCCATTGAGATTGTTGAATAGTTTATTTCATCATAATTTAGCCTATCCTATTTGTCACTATTAGTCACACACGAGGGCCTAGGACTTGCTGAGGAAATGGCTTTTGTTACTAGCCATTTTCATCATAACATTATCACCATACAACCTTCTTGAAAAACATATACTTGGACCTCTGTACAGCTGTCATAAAATAAATGATTTGCCAACTATATATACTATATATACTAAATTAAAGCAGCAATTTTAAAAAATAATATGTAACTTTAACTTAAAGCATGACCAAAGACCTTTCTACGGCTACTGACATCAAATTTCCACAGACCATCCCCTAAAACCCAATGAAAATAAATAAGAATAGTGAAAATACTCTTTCAAGTCATCAGTGACAGAAGCAGAATTAGCTTATATGTGGTCCCAATGTGTAAATGAACCATGTTCAATGACAAGGTAATTGGTGAAAACTTTAAAAACATTTTCTTGCAACTCCATCCTGTATAGACATTTCTATACCAATCATGCTATAAACCTTAGCCATCTCTAGCATTAGTGTTCCTATGGGAACATGCTCACAAGGAAACAATCAGGGATATCAGGAGTATACCTTTCTACCCACTTGCTATATAATCAGGTATCTCCCTTACCCTCACCTTCCTGGAAGTGAAAGGGGGGTCTACCTCATGTTCAACTTGCTGAACATGGGGTCCCAGGACACACGGCAGGAATTCATAAAGTGGAGGACTGGTGGCAGGAGTGAAGGGAACAAGAAGCATGGTGGGGGCTACGGAAAGACTGAGCTTCTCACTACAGTGAGCTATGAGTGTGCTACGACACTCCAGCCTGGGTGACAAGGCAAGACCTTGTCTCTAAAAAAATAAAAATAAAATAAGTCTGGCTGGGTTCGGTGGCTCACGCCTATAATCCCAGCACTTTGTGAGGCCGAGGCAGGCAGATCACGAGGTCAGGAGCTCAAGACCAGCCCAGCCAAGATAGTGAAACCCTGTCTTTATTAAAAATACAAAAAATTAGCCAGGCATAGTGGTGGGCACTTGTAATCCCAGCTACTCAGGAGACTGAAACAGGAGAATCACTTTTACCCAGGAGGCAGAGGTTGCAGTGAGCCAAGATCACACCGTTGCACTCCAGCCCCAGCAACGGTGCAAGACTCAAAAACAAAAAAAAAAAACAAAAAACAAGTCTCAGGGTTAGCTGAAAACCCTTCCTCCCAACCACCACCTCCACCCCCTACCATGGGAAAACAAAAACAAAAACCAAACAGTGCCAAGGTCAGGAGAGTCCTTGGAAGCAAGGGAGCAATGATGGCTGAGTAGCAAGAGGGCAGCCTTAAAGCCACCAGGCAGAGTCCCCAAGTATCTGGGAGGCTGTTAAAGTAGAGATAAGAACTTCAATCCAGTAAATGAATCTACCAAGTTGGGGCTTAAAGTTCGGGAGAGATTCTCATTTTCACTGCAGTTACTCACACCCTTGCCTGTCCTCCCCATCTGGTAAGCCCAAAACAGGGATAGCAGAAATGCCACTCATCCCCATACATACATATATACCTACACACACACACACACACACATATATATATACACATACATACATACACACACACACACTCACTCTCTCTCTCTCTCTCTATTGGCCACTTGGCAGATCCTCATAAGTCATAGTTCTATAGCTCATAATCTAAGAAGCACAGTCTTACATGAAAAGAAACTACCTTTAATGGCTGACATTCTAGCAGACACAACAGCTTTAACAAATCTGTGCTTTGTTGTGTTTGAAAAGAAGCAAATATTGACTGCTGCCTTGAACCTAAGTCCTAATGAATGCTTAATAGTAACTGTAATAAAAAAACTAAGATAAAAACTTTTATTTTTAAAAAAGTTCATTCATAACTAATTTCTATGCAATATCAAAATCAAACTAATAGAATTCTGTCTTAATGTTTAGGGCGAATATTTCCAAAGAGCTTCTGGCAGGTAACCTTATGGAAAGCATGGCCAAAAAAAGAGACCAATGTCACAAGTAATATACTAGTATAAGCCAGATGACTTTGAAAAGAAAACACTTGCTTCTGTGGACATAGACTCCATTCCTACACCTGGCAATAGGTGCACACTGGCAAAAGCATATACAAGTATATGCTGTTGGTTCCAAAATAACAGTCCAGGGAATCAATGTTGTTTATCACAACCACCGGAAAATAATTTGGTAACAATGTCTTCATTCACTCACACATCTAACAAATATTTCCTGAATATATACCATGGACCAGATACTACTATAGGCAATGGGGAGGTATGGGGGTGGGGTAGAGCAGTACCAACAAAACTCCCTGCCTACATGGAGCTTATATTCCAGTTGAAGAAGACGGACAGTAAATAAAATACATTGTTTGTGATAAGTGCAAAAGAGAAAAATGAAATAGGAAAGAACATGGGATGGAGGCTGCAGGGTAGGTTTTCATTTTAAACAGGGCGGTCTAAGAAAGCCTCATGACATTTGAGCAAAGACCTGCTATATAGATATTAGAGGACAGAAAGTTCCAGAAGACGCAAACAGCAAGTGCAAAGGCCTGAAGTTAGAAGGTCTGATGAGTCCACACACAATAAAGAGGTGGGTTTGGCTGGAGAGAAAGGAGTAACACAGAGAATATGGAGAGATGAGGTCAGAAGGTAATAATAAAAAGAGAATACACAGGGCCTTGAAGGCCATTGTAAAAGTCTGGCTTTTGCTCTCAGTGATTCTCAGAGCCACCGGAGGTCTATAGCTGAGGAGTGCTGTCTAACTTTCCTTTTAACTGGATCACTTTGACTCCCTTCCACTCCACATGGTGGAAGAACAAGAGAAGCAGAGATGCTGCTGCTGGCCAGAACCAGGGTGACAGAAGTGGTATTCCTATTTTAAGAAGTGGTTAGTGGCTAGATGTACTTGAAAGATAGCTTTTGCTGATAGATTAGATATGCGGGAAAGGAACAAGCCAAGATTAAAGTAAGTTTTTTGGCCTGGATGGCGCTATCATTGAGACAACGGAAACTTACTAAGGAAGAACCCGTTTTGTGGAAAAGATAGAGAGTAGTTTATAAATTGTCAAATTTAAAACATGAAAGATACCCAATACACGACTGAATTTGTGGATCTGAAGTTCGGGGATGAGGTGTGGACTGGAGATATAAATTCTTAAGAGCTCAATAAAACCTTAAGGCGGGATAACAGAGAACAGAAAGGATTCAAAGACCTACTCCTGCGCACGCCAAGATTAACAAATTAGAAGCACGTGTGTGGGGCGTTTACGACGGATTAGCACAAACTTCTCCAAAGTGGGGTCAAGATAGACATTTTTCTACCTTTAGAGCCTAGCACAGTGCCTGGGAAATTATGGGTGGTAAATAAAAGAGCTACTTCGACAGGAATTTAACGAATGTCTATTCCGTTCTAGCAAAAGCGCCAGGTACTGCGGGAACCGTAAACAACAAGTGCAAATTCCTGACACCTATATTCTGGTAAGCAAGCCAGGGAGGATAACGAGTGACAAAAAAATCAAACATTAACGCCGAAATAGCCTTCTCAGGAACGTATTATCCTCCAACTTAACATATAAATAAAGGTGGTATTGGGCTTATCTGGAGGCCTCGGTGGCTATCTTCCACCCCTCAGCTGGAGCCAGGCCAATGCAAACTTCGCTCCTAAATGGCTTTCACCTGCATCCAACGCCGAAGCTCCTTAGGTCAGGGCCCTGAGGTCCAAGGAACGAAACTGGACTCTGTCAGGACAGGGAGAGGGGGGCAGGGAGCCGTGCCTGTCACTATCTAAGCCGAAGCCTCTCCCCCACGGGTCTCCGACAGCCGCTCACCCGCCCAGGGCCAGGGAGCCTCACCCCACAGTCCATCCGTGCGCCTGAGGCTCCGTACTGCTGCAGGCTGGCGGGTTTCCATGGAACTAACACAGCGTTTTAAACCAACCCGCTCCTAGGCGCAGTAGCTCCCATACGCAGGCGCACCCGTGGCAGAGCATGCCGGGAACTGCAGTTTTCCCAGCTCAGGAGTGCCCTCTGCCCTGGGCTGCGCCCAAGCCGGCATTCGGCGGCGCGCAGGGAACGCGCAGCGCCGTTAACCGAATGACGACAGGCTCCATTGTGCTCGCAAGCTGAGCACGCCGGGATATGTAGTTTCCGGCCGCTGCCCTCCGGGAGGTCCTGTGCTATACGCCTCACTGTGACTTATCTCTGCCTGGTGAACTTGCGGTGTTCGGCTAATCTTGGTAAACACATACCCTGCGGCAGAGTCCAAGCCTAGACAGCGTTTTTACCTGTAGGAAGACTAAAGGATCATTTCCGAACGATAGGAAAATAACAGATTTTGTTAACAAGCATAAAAATTCGTTAAAAATTCAGAGCTTAAACATTCTTGTTACAGGAGAAACCAAGTCCTTCTTCGTCCTCGTCCATGATGGCCACATGGAGAGTAAAACACAGAAATCTGCTTTCTGGTCTTTTGACTCTTCAGCATAAATTATTTCTTGCCCTGTCAACAAGTTAATAGGTATTTGTAAATCTGTAGTTATGAAACGAAAAAGAGCATGAACTACCCTTCCTTTTTATGGTGGTTTGCTTTTTTGAGATAGCGTCTTGCTTTGTCGCCCAGGCTAGATTACAGTGGTGTATCTTGGCTCACTGCCGCCTCGACCTCCCGAACTCAAGCGATCCTCCCATCTCAGCCTCCCCAGTAGCTGGGCCACAGAGGCGCGTCACTACGCCTGGCTAATTTTTGTATTTTTTCGTGGAGACGTGGTTATCACCATATTGCTCAGGCTGGTCTCGAACCCCTGTTCAAGCGATCCGCCCACCTCGGCCTCCCAAACTGCCAGAATTACAGGCGTGCATCACCATGCCGGCGCTTCTGAGATGTTTTGCTTTAAGAATGTGAATTCTCGCTTAAGGGAAAGCCTTCTAAAGCGCAAAGCCGATGCGGCTTTGCCTTTGGGTAGCTGGACAGAACACCTATTATCCCTGCCAGGGCAATTAAAGTGCAATTCTCTCTTCTACCTGAGGGTGCAGCCAAGAATCACTTCAGCCCTCCCAAACGCAATCAGATCTGAGATGAGATCTCATTTATTTAGCCTGGCTATTGATCTTGCTATTCTAATTCTTTCCACAGCGGAGCCTCAACGTGAGATGGAGAGAGACTGCCCATCAAACCACAGCCATATTCATCAAGCTTTGAGCAGATCCGATGAAGCAGAAATGAGTACTGCATAGATTATTCAGAGGAAGGGACCAAATAAAACTTTTAATAGGAAATGGAAATGTATTTTAAGGCGTCCGTGCAAAGAGCCAATTATTTTCATTATGTATGTTTTATCTTACAATGACCTCTGATTTATAGTGGAATTAAGAGACGAGTGATACGTGCATGCGTTCCAAAGATATCCACCTGCTTCTGTGTAATGAGAGTTTTCACCTCCTCAAATCTCCATATTAAGCAGCAGTCAAGGAACCAAATTGATTAGTGTTTTTCATTTGCTTTCCCCCATCCACCATCTGGCAAACCGTATAAGAACCTAAGCAATTACAAAGTTAGAGAAAAGGATCTGAAGTCTTAATAAACTTGAAATTGAGGAGTACAATATTCCAACTTTGTCCTTTTTCAAATTTGCTTGGCTGTTTCTTTAACTTTCTAGTTGCTTTACCTTTCTCCCAAATTTTTTGAATCAACTTGTTGATACCTACAAAAATTCTGCTAGGATTTTGACTGAAATAATGCTGAACACATCGATTTTCTTGCTGATTTCCCTCTTGATTTTCAGTTGATAAATAGTTCTCAGACATTACTCCATTTACCAAACAAGATAATTTCATTCATGGAAATCCTAGATATTCCATGAGGACCACATTCTCTTTCACTACAAAACCCTCCTAACTGGTTTTTCTATTACCCCTTCCCCAAAGTATCTTTCATAGGACTACCAGAAGATCTTTCAAAAAAAAAGTAAATCTGTATATCTCCCGCCATTACTTTAAAGCATTTAATGGTTCCTCCATTGAACTTAAAGTTTTCCATTGAGCAGAATGAAGACCAAACTGCTGATAGCTTCAGCCAAATCTTCCAGCCTCCTCTGCACCTAGTGCCCCAGTGGAACTCTGAATTCAAGGCTGCTAGCGTAGAATGTCTTTGTGTGTGCAAGTTATGCTCGCTCTGCCAGGCATGGCCTTCCTCTCTTCAGTCTCCCGAGCTCAACAGAAACTTAGCCTCTTCTGTGAAGCCATTCTGTTCCCTCCCAAAGCACTTTGTAACTGTCAATGTATCTTATTTCCCCTTAGTTGAACTGTAAGCTACTTAAAGACAGCAATTTTGTTTTTTATTTTTAACACCAAGTACAATCCCTGACACATAGTAGGGGTTTGGAAAGTTTTTGTTAGGTGAGTGAATGAATAAATTTTGAATGCCTCTACCAGCAGAGGCTGTGTTTCATTCTCTACTTGTAGGCCAGGAAAAGGCCTACAAATAGAATATATGCTGCTCATGATTTGCCATTGTAGTTACACAAATGGCAGTAAAGTCACCTGCAACTACTTCCCCTTGGAGTTGGAAATGTATTCCGTGGACAAAGAAATGCAAACAAAACAACCCAAATTTTCATATCTTGTTGGTACAATAAAAAAATAAGAATGGCAAATTCACAAACTGGTTCCTCACCTTATGTGGGCAATCCAGATATTTTGGTGAAGTATTGGCTCTGGGTATAGAGATTAGGATTTGAAAGAGCCTCTGGCTTTTTAATGAACTGGTGAATCAGCCCAAGGCTGAGAAGATAATTTTGTTAATTGAAGTGACCAAGGGCAACAGTGTTTCTTACAAGGCCTCTGTCACTTAGATCCAGCTAAATTTTATAGTCAGGTAGATTCTCACTTTGTTCCATTAACCAAAGTTATGAATACGGTCAAGGCTGTGATGAGTTGCTGCAGCTATATTTTACGTTTCCTAAGATTAAAGTACTCTTTTGTACTTTCTCATATCACCACAAATGATTCTGACTGTGACCTGTGGTGTAGTAGTTATATTCTCATTTTATTGATGAGGTAACTGACACTGGGGGAAGTTAAGTAACTTGCCTAAGAGCCATACAACCAATAAGTGACAGAATGGTTATCTGAAGTTGGCTCTATCTCGCTTCAAAGCCTGTGCATTTTGGTTTCACCCATCTCCTACTGTCAAGTGATTCTCCTGCCTCAGCCTCCAGAGTAGCTGGGACTACAGGCACATGCCACCACACCCAGCTAATTTTTGTATTTTTAGTAGAGATAGGGTTTCATCATGTCGGCCAGGATGGTCTCAATCTCTTGATCTCGTGATCTGCTTGCCTCAGCCTCCCAAAGTGCTGGGATTACAAGCGTGATCCACTGTCCCCAGCCAATTTTTTTTTTTTTAATGAGGAAAATTTCTATGTACTTACATGGAAAATTCTATAGGATATATTTTAAGTTGAACAAGTAAGGCATTGTGTGACAACAGGGGTGATAAGAATTTTATATTTGTATAAACAAGCACTGGGAGTACACACAAAAAAAGTGTCTTTTATTACCTGTGCAGATAATATGACCATATAATTTTTCATCCAAACCAAGATAATGTATATCTCCACACATCTAAGGCCTTCTTTTATTTCTTTAGTGTCTCATAGTTTTCAACACATAGATAATATATATTTTTGTTAGATTTGTATCTAAGTTTTCCATTTTTTGTTAGTTTTTTCAAAATTTCAAATCCATTGTTTGTTGCTAGTATATAGAAATATAATTGACTTTTGTATTTTGATCTCTTATCCTATGACCTTGCTAAACTCCCTTACTAGTTTTAGGACTAGCTTTAGGACTTTTTGGTGTGTGTATTATTTGGGATTTTTTTACACAAATAATTCTGTCATCTGCAAGTAGAATTCTTTTTCCCTTTCAATCTGAATGACTTTATTTTTCTTGGCTAAGACTTTTACATTATTGAATAGCAGTGGTGAAAGAAGGATGTCCTTATCTTCTTTCCATTAAGTATAATATTAATCATAGGTTTTTATAGTTGTCCTTTACAGTATTATATCCAGGCAATTTCATTTCATTCCTAGTCTGCTGAGAGTTTTTATTGGAAAGAGATTTGAATTTGTCAAATGCTATTGAGATAATCATGTTTTTTTTCCTTTAGTTTGCTAGTTGGTAAATTACATTGGTTGAGTTTTCACAAATTGAACCTACCTTGCATAATTGGGATAAGTTCCACTTAATTATTCTGTACTTTCCTTTTTTTTTTTTTTAATTTCTAGACCCAATTTTCTAATAATTTGTTGAATATTTTGTGTCTATGTTTGTAGGGCATATTGATCTTTCTTTTTCTTTTTTTTTGGAAAAAGTGTCTCACTCTGTCACCCAGGCTGGAGTGCCGTGTTATGATCTCAGCTCAGTACAACCTCCACCTCCTGGGCTCAAGCAATTCTGCTTCAGCCTCCCAAGGAGCTGGGACTATAGGCATGCACCTCCAAACTCAGCTAAATTTTGTATTTTTAGTAGGGAAAAAGTTTCACCATGTTGGCCAGACTGGTCTCAAGCTATGGGCCTCAAGTGATCTGCCTGCCTCAGCCTCCCAAAGTGCCAGAATTATAGGCAGGACCCACTGCACCCAGCCTGGTCTTTATTTTTCTTTCATTATAATGTTGTGTTCTGGTTTTGGTATTAGGGTAATTCTAGCTTCATAAGATTCATGGGAAGTATTTCCTTCTCTTATATATTCAGAAAAAGATTGTATAGAATTGTGATTGTTTCTTCCTTAAATGTTTTCTAGAATTTTGCCGTAAAATATATGAGCAGGGAGTTTTCTTTATTGAAAAGTTTTTAACTACAAATTCAATTTCTTTAATAGTTGTAGAACTATATGGGTTTTATGTGTGTGAGAGTTTAGGTAGCTCATGTATTTTAAGAATTGGTCTGTTTTATCTAAGTTATTGAATTTATGGGCATAGAGTTGTTTGTAGGACAAGTCCTTACTTAACATCATCAATAAGTTCTTAGAAATGGCTATTTTAATTGAAA